ATAAGATGAGGTCAATGAAATTTATTAGAGATAATTATTTCGACATTTGGTCACTTTGGAACCGGTGGAAATGGTATATACCATAAATTGATTTCAGTGACCCCATTGTCAGTTTGACATGATTTGGCATGCTCCATGATATGACTGCTTTGATCGTAATAATGTTATAACAAACCCTATATTGGAATTCACGGAACCGAATTCCAGAACCCCGGTACCGATGTTAACTGGCCAATTGTCACCGGATACACCTTAAATGATCTTCATTTGTTTGATTATACCTATTTGGCATGATTTGAAATGATGCATGAGACGGCTTTCAGAAATATTACTATGTTTTATAGATCCTGGCTCCATAACTCCCGGACTCGATGATAACGTTGCCAGACATCGTAGAAACATCTAAATTCATTCGTACATTGGTATTATTCAATGCACCAGATAACCAATTCGTCAGACAAAAAATAGCATTTGTTCATACTTGTGGAAAAAAAAACCGGAAAAAACAGACAAATTTGCATCTCTCAAATACGGGGAGGGGTCTAGCGGGGCGTTACCTATGTCAAAAGCTAGAATTATTATTTTCATTTCAGTTTCACTCCAAGTCATTTCGCAATTAAGAACTTTTAGACTTTTACCATAAAGGTAACTTTAAGACTAGTAGGTCCCGAAGAAACGTGCTCAACTTTTTGGCTCAACTCTGGTATTATCTTCGGTCCCAAGCTAATCGATGCACCCATCGAAACATAGGAAAAGCCACGAATCCCTCATTCTATCAGTCAAGCTTTCATAGCAAATCGAAACAAACATAGTGTAGTTCTAGAATTTTGACTAGAATGGGCTACGTTGAACGATTTGCTTGGGACCAATAGGCTAGTCAAGTAGTGAGCCAATTTAAAATCGTTAGTTTTCACCGGTTGGTACAGCCCCGGGACGGGACTTGACAATCGAGTTTCTCACTCTTCTTAAAGTTTTTGAAGAAGAGTTTCTACCGCAGTTTAGCAGCTTGTACATCATTTTTGCTCAACACATTAAAAACAACCATAAACAAACCACAATGTCCATCGCTTTACACACGCAGTGCACTAAATTTTTCAACTTTCCTTTCGCAAATATAAACAATTAACACTGCCAGCCAGATTGATGCGATCCCTCTGTCCTTTTTATTCCACGATTGTTACTGTCAAATCGACCAATCAGAAACTGGCTCTGATTTGACAGCAAATTGGCTCGAAATCGCTATTCGATTGTCAAGTATCGTCCCAGGTACAGTCTATTGAAGGAAACAGGTACCAACAAACGTCAGAAAACATTGTTTGTTCATCAAAAAGTTTTATATTTTTTGCTTTCAAAACTAGATCTTGAAAGCCCCACCGAACGAGAATTTTGCTTTAATTTATTTATTGTTTTGAAGCTTCATAAGTTCGGGGCTACAAGGTGTTTCAGAGTGATAAAAACATAGTTGAAGATGCTAAGCGTCAAATAACTATGTAAATCCAAGGGGTAGGTCACTCCGCACACCAACCTTGGGTCATCTTTTTTGTCAGTGTGCCGCAAGTGTGCCGATTGTGGCGATAATAGAACAAGCTCCTATTGTTTGTAAAAAACCCAACCCGGAAACCCGGTATTTCTGACACCTTGAATGTTTTGGTTTGAAATCGCAAGGATAAATCGGAGATAAATCGGTAGATGATGCTCAAATTCCGAGTATTCGTTCGCCAAACGATTGACGATGACGCGGGAAGTGGCGGGTGTGTGAAATTTTTCTTGTGTTCATAGGATAATAAAAATCCTCAAAGGCAGACCAGAAACCTAGCCTTTCGTGACGATCAACTGCCTCTTTCTTTCGAGCCCACGCTAGAACCTACATTTCGGATTTATATCTGTGAACCGAGAAGTGAACTGCTGGTCTGAGTTCCTCTGGTACACGGATAGAAATCTCCTTATACCCTTTGGCAAATTTCTATTGCTGATTATTGATAAAATGTATAAGTCAACTAATAAGCAGACGCCTTGCAAAAAGTTAATGAAGATCATGTGTCAAATGAAATGCATAAGCGGTCACACATACCTTTTATGCATTCTTATATGACCTATTTGGTTTGTCTTATGGAATGTATAAGACTGATGTTTTGGCAAAAATGTATAAGTGAAACACATGAATAAAATAATTGATTTTCGTTTCGTGTATATTCAATTAGGCATGTTCCTGAATATACAGTCAAACAGCACGTAATGTTGTGAACAGCTACAATCACAGCTGTCCAGAGTGCTCCCATTCGATTTTCAATAATCCAATTCCTCCGAGATTATACGGAAGGAGTGCCGATGGATGCGCCCAAGCTGTGCCGAATCTAATTTCGGCACAATGTGCTGAGTGACTTACCCCTTGATGTAAATCGTTAACTTCACGCAGAAGTAATAGAAACAAAATAGTTAAAGATAAAAACATGTTGTTAATCTTTTCTGTATTGATTATTGGTAAGAATCTTGTGGATTTCATATAGAACTGGCTGTGGTCCCTCTTACCCCGCCGGGCGTTTTTACCCCGTCTTCCCCTATGACTAGAAGAAGCTTGAATCCGGGAGTTAAAGGTGATAGCTCTACCGCAGATCCAATAGTCCGTTTCAAGAACGCTAGCTATTTTCACACACGGTAAGTTCATGCTAATAAACCACTGATAATGTATTGAAGCTTTCAACCTAGCAGAAGTGCAATTTCCTTGATCGACGCGTATTTAATGAGCATTAGTTATTTTTTTCAATATAACTTACTGCGGAACAAACTGCTGTCTTCCGGAAATCCACTACTCGCCAGCAACTGAAAGAAGGGGGACTCTATTTGGTCACCGTCGCGGAATCTACTTATAAAACCCCTTTCCGTTCGAACCGTATTTTCCATACAAAAACAGGTATTTTTTTGCATGGGAAATACGGTTCGAATGAAAACAAGAATATGGGTGATAATTTCGCTACACAATTTTTACAATTCCGCTTCACATTATTGCCAATTCAGAGATGCATTTAGCGTCAGATTATCAGCTTTAATAGCATGCTGTGGATGTCAGTTACGTCGAATTATTTTTCCTGAAACAGCAATATAAATTATTTCAAACTTGAATTCAATTTTACACGACCAAAATCACGCAGCAAAACAAAAATACGTCAGTTTAGTATCGTGGCACGCGGTCTACTTCGATCTCTTCTTTGGATGTCTCTTCAAATTTCCCTAAAACTATCCTCTGAATAAACCTGATCTTCGTTGAAGGTCATTTCACCGCCTCGGCCAATCAATCGACAATTTCGGCGATTATTATACTGACAACACTTTTTACAAGTAGGGTACTACAACAGTCACGCATCTAACCCTAAGTCGCTGACTGAATCGTGTAAAGAAATTATCTCAATAGACGCCCAGCGACGATTTCCAACACTAATAGCACCTCATTAGAGTACTAATTTGACTTACCAAATCGAGTACATCGCCTTTCTCTCGAAATTTCGATTTCCGATCGATTCGGCACCAGCAGCGGAAAACTCGCCGCCCAAAGCAAGAGGTTAAGTGCACTTAATTGGGTGTCACGGCTGACTGTCACGAGACTTTTTGGTTATCGTCACAAAATTATATCCGATCCCACCGACCGACCAGTCCCAAAACATCGAAAATTTGCTATGATCAGCATCGCGCGAAGAGTGTAACGTCGACTTTCAGCCTACTTCGTTCGATCCCGTGATGGAATGTCGGTTTTCCACCAAACTACTCGACGTGGACGACGACATTGGTTAGATCATAAAGTTAATTAAATATTCCCCTATATTAACCGAGTGACATATTTTACGTTTTTCAAATGCCAATGGGTGAGTATACCCTTCTCGCTTTCAGCACCCATAAGTGTTCTTATTTTTGTGCCGTTCGCCCATGGAAAAGAGGAGAAAAATAGAAACCCATATATCTAAATCGGGCGAAAATCACACATTTTCCGATGGCGATTTTTCATCTGCTGACTCCAGAAAGCAAAAAAAAAAAAACAGTTGGAAAATTCCGGCAGATGGTCCCAAATATCCGCTACCAGACGGGCGGGCGAATGGATCGACGGTTTTCGTATCGTATGTATTGTCTGGCTGAGTCACTCTTCCTCTTTTTGCCAGACTTTTGCCAATAAATATGCGACGCCCGTTGAACCGTGGCGATACCGCGGTCGAACGTCCTTGAAAAATTGCCATAAATTTGTTTTTGACTTTGTGTGGTGGCGGCTTCTTTTGGATGATGATGATGATTCTCTTACATTTGTTTTCGCTTTTCTGGGGGAGAAAAGAAACAGCACACCGCGGTTGATGACGACGGCGGATCAAGCGTCTCCATTGGAAAATGGCTGATGAAGATGCTTCGCGTCGTGATCCAACTCAACTGTTGATGGTTTCCTTTTTTTTGAGAAAGTCAAAGCGACTGGATCTAAACAATTTGGCCGTTTAAAAAGGCGTACTAGATTAAATGTTACAACTGATTTTCGACAGTCGGTAGATGTAAACAAATTCCGTGATACAGTCATCATTCGCTGGTTGGGACGCAACCTCATCCCATCTATCGAATGCTATTCACTAGTTAGGATTACTCTCAAGTAACACCCAATTAGTGAACTGTACTGTACTGTAGTTGCAGTCTGTTATAAATGAACACAAAGCGCGTGCAAATCACTGTCCCGCCGTTTTGCATATATGCAAGTTATATAAATTGAGGAGGCGAGAGCAAAAAAAAACACATGACACATGCACATTTTTACTCGATATCAGCACGGCGGTGGTCGTCGTCTGCTCACTTGGTCATCGTCGTTAGCCGGCTTGTTGAGAGGTAGTCAACACAAAACCGGTCGTCGTAGGAGCCATGTGCTCCAGTGATCGCTTCATTATTTACTACTATTGTTGTTATTACATCAAGAGAGTGCAACAGACCGGTCAAGAATGCGTGTTATAGCATATGTTTCTATTTATCTGGAATCACAGCACTATCAGCAGGTCAGTGATGTAGTGGAGGCAGCTATCCAGGGCAGCTAAAAAATGTGATCGTGAGTGTAGTGTTTTGGGTGGAAGAAAAATCGATCGAAAATCAAAACCCAGTGCCTACTGCGAGCATTCTCTATTTCTACGTCAAGTGAAACAACCGGTGATAAGTGCTTTCCGTAACCATGGAGAAGGTGAAAGCTCACCGAAAACGATCTTCCGAGAGTAAACGGGAGAATCTCCCGACGCCACCACCAGATCCGACGTTGGGACTCAGTTCCGGTACTGCAATGCCTTCCCCTACTAGTGCGGAAAGTTCACAAGAACCATTCGCGTACAGTAGCTTAGAGAGCGATCCCTTCAAGCGCCTTTTTACGTACAATGAGCGCGAAAGCCATTTTCTGAAGCTCCTATGTGATAGTGAAACTAATTCTAGTCTAAACAGGATACTGCATTCTCCGGTTGGTAGTGGCGGGGAAGGAGATTCCAATGCGGGACCACCACCAACACCACCACCACCACTACCACCACAGCCACCACTCAAGATCGAAGGGACCGAAACGGCTTTCGATTCACCAAATGATTTCCTCATGCTACTGAGCCGTACGGGACCTTCCGTAGCAGCGGCACTTTCCACCAAAGGAGCCCTCGATCAACTCGATCGGCTACACGATCTCATCAAGCAACTACTGATGCTACAGGAGCAGAACATGCGAATGCACTGGCAACTGAAGAATGTCGAAACGCTGCGAAAGCTGAAGCTGATGCAAAATTCGGTAAGCTTGTATGCAGGGTTGCACGCAAAACGTTGTTTTCTCTTAAACGGTAAACTTTAAATTTCAGATGAACAAAGACCCAGAAGCATTTTTGGTTACTGCACAACAGGATGACAATTCTGATACTGACCTGCTGGATAACGAAATCGAACAAAACCTGGCTTTGTTGGAGACGATTCTGGCGGCTGGGAACACTGCCAGCAGTAAACGCAGTAGTTCGAAAAGGTAAATCATGTGATATTTCTAACTCTTTCCGAGCCACTTTTTCATGCATCAAAATTTTCGAAGAATGAACTGATATTATTATTATTATACATAGGCATTTATTAATTTCAATTAAGTTAGGACACCCCGTCAGATTCCAATGAAACTTTGTGGGTTCAAAGACTTTGTCCACTTAAAGGGTGAATCGAGCTAAAAGTAGTCAATTCAAATATAGTACATTTCTGTTTAGCGTGCATTTGAAAAACAAAAGTTGATTTACGAAGGTCTGTGTCTACGAAATCTCATGTAATTTTTGGTTTTGGAATTGTGCATTCAGTTTTTAAGATGGCTATCAAACAAGAGAACCAATTAAAATCTTTGTTTGTGAAGGCTGCTCGGAAAAAAAATCCGTTCCCATATTCGTGAACGGCAGCTGTGAACCATAGTTTGCGCGTAAAAGAAAATGTAACTCGTGAACTATAGAGCCGTGATTCTGGTTTACGAATATGGACACGGATTTTTTTTGCGAATGATTTTCAACAGCTGTATTGGCCTGATCTCGTGTCTTGTCATTGCGGTAAAATTACGTGAAAATTGTATGAAATCAAAAACGTTGTTGGTGTAGCCAAAGTTCATTATACACTGTTAAAATTTAAAAGATTGTTTTTATGTGTCCCAATCATGAATTTTTGCAATGTGATAAACAAATGATATATATGTGTCGGACACCTAAAAGCCATATGTGTATGCGTACATATGTGTACACATAAAAGCCATGTGTAAGCACACATACTATTCATTTGACTCATAAATTTCATGTGTACTTCAGGGTGGATTCTGTTTATGTGTGGTTACATGAAAATCATGTGGAATTTTACATGGAAATTCGTCAATAAAAATGTGTGGAATTCTATTAGTGTACTTCGGCCATTTAAAAAAATATTGAACAATCATCAAGATATAGCTCAAGAACGGTCCAGAAAAAGTTGATAATATGAAAAATGATGTCAAATTACTTAATTTAACAATAAAATAAGGTTGTGCCAAACTTAATAGAAGGGGTCAACCGTTAAGTCCGTGGGTTATTAATCAACGACTGAATCAGTATGTATTGATCATTTGGATTCTGGCTCAGGTTCTGGCAAAGAATAGAGTGAACTTAACATTAGGCTTAATGGAAGAGTAAGCTGCCAGCATAGCATAAAGCAGATGATTATTGTATTAACATTATTTTTCTACACTTAATTTTGTGTGACTACTTTTTACTCGTTCCACCCTTTAAGCAACTTTGCATATTTGATTTTCTAGGATAAAATCTATAGACTACCACTTGAAAAAAGGTGAATTATATTTATAAAAATACAGTCAATCAGTGTCTGTTTGTATCATTTACAATCCCACGCAAGGAGTAGTGCTTCAACCCAGTGTTCATTATACATCAGTGATAACGTGTTGATATAATGTTGATAAACCAAAATTGTCAAAATCAGAAGCGATCCTCAAAAGCAAAATATTCAAATTCATTTTGGGCTAATCTTACATCGATCTGTATGTAAAAACCAACACAACACGTTCTACGGTGCTATATTTGTGTAGAATGAAAATAATCATTTTGCAATTGATCCTCAAAATCATCCCCACCAAGAGGAAGACGAATATTAACATTAACAACAACACAGGCGATCATGAAGATCCGGCCACAAATAGACAAACACAAATGTTGATATCGATACTCAGAGGTTGCCTTGATCAAAAGAATGTTGATATGTGTAGAAACGTCTGGTTCGGTCCGAGGTACAACTGATAATAAATATTTATTCTCATGCTTTAAGGTTGTTACAAAACCAATGGTTGCTTAGATCCTACATTCCCTCCTTAAGTTTAATATTTTAAAAATTTAATATATTCAAAGTTTGTAATCTGCTAAGTATTTAGGTACATGTTTCGAGCGCTTGCTGGTAGCTCGGCTAGTCTCAAAAGGGCGTTTTCGACCATCGCATCGTGAGACCATCTGAGGTTCCGTAGTAGTTTGGCTGGTAGAGGGTTGTTCCGTTGGATTCGTAGTACGTTCAGCAGCAGTTGGAATGGCTGGTCCCATGTCATCTTCTTCTTGTGTGCCCTCAGAGGTTTTATGATTATCTGCGTCATTCTCCTGTTTCATCATGGGATTCGCATTTAGGATTCGTTTGGTGTGGTTCACGTGTCGATTGGAGATCACACTGCTTTGTATCACAAGATGAGGTTCGGGGTTGAAAGTGGTTGTTAGCTTATTTTTCTTGACAAAATTTTTCACAATCACATAATCTCCAACATCGATATTGCATTGCTTAGCTCCCTTTTTGAATCCGCATACATTCTTCCTTTTTCTTTCGCCTTCCTATCGTTTTCTCTTGCTTCAGTTTCATTTACTGGTCTTGAGTTTCCTGGTATTTTTATCCCGAATGTTCCACCCAAACATCAATTCCGACGGTGAAAACTTTGTTATGCTGTGAGGTGTTGCTCGGTAAGAGTGAAGAAAATCTTGTAGATCATACCGCCAATTACGTCCCATAGTACAGCTTATTTTCAAGGGCTTTAATAAAGTTCTTTTTTGCCTCTCGACCAATCCATTTTGAAAAGCTGCATAAGGAACTGTATGCTTGATTGAGATTGCATTTGTCTGACAAAAGTTCAAGAATTCTGCTGAAGAAAATGGCTGACCATTATCGCAAACAACTTCAATAGGATAGCCGAACCTTGCAAAAATTTCCCTCATTTTAGTGACTGTTACTTTTGCTGTCATTGAAGTAAGTATAGCAACTTCAACGTACCGGGAGTAGTAGTCTGTCGCTACAAGCAAATGGTAACCGCCAGGAATTTCCATGAAATCCACATCTATTTTCTTCCACGGTCCGTTAGGCACCTCGGTTCTTGTTATAGGAAGTGTATCAGGTTCTGATACAAGCGTACATCCTGTGCATTATTGCTTACCATCCATATGTGGGAACGATTCATCATTCACTGCTTGCAAAAATTTCACCAATCCAAGTTTGACTGCTGTTTCACCTGAGAGAAGCGAGCATTTCCCATTCTGGATCACGTAGAACGTAGTGTCGGTACTCCGACCGTCGATCATAGCTTCTGCGTCGACTTCACCAAGCACTTTCAACGGTGTATTTATCCCATAAGCATTGAATACTTTGCTGCTTCCTCTCCTGATAGAGTATGCTTCAAACCCAACGCGTTTCAACGTAGCCCAATCCGCTTCGCTTAAAACGTCTTCGTCTGCTCCTGTGTCAATCACGAACTTCAAACAAACTCCTCCAACAGATACTGGAACCAGCTTTTTTCCTGCTCCTAGATGGAAAAGATCAACTACATCTGAGTTGCGCTCGGTTCCATCTACAGATACTTCTCGTACGAATCGCTTTTGTTTACGGGAAGCTCCGAAACGATTGTACTGGGACGGTTGTCCGTTGGTCTTCTTCCTTTTTAGAAAACAGCAGCGGGAAAAGTGTCCCACTTGACCACAACTTCTGCATTCGAGTGATTTGGCTGGACACGATGGATCTTTCGAATCATGTCTGCCATTGCATCGGAAACATCTGAACCGCCTTGGTCCTCCGAGTTTGGAGCGTACCTTCAAAATTGACTCTTCATTGGCCTCCGTTTCGACAGCGCTGACTTTTTGTAAGTTTCCGTTCCGATTGTCCAAATCGCTCATCTGTATTTGAACAGACTCGTGGGTACGACCGATCGCTACGATCTCCTTGAAGTTAAAGTCTTTTTCCAGGCACTTCCTCTTCAGACTCACATCCGTTGTAGTTGTAATAATTTGGTCAGCTACCATGCTTTCCAGCTGATCTCCAAAATCACAGTAGGCTGCCTGCTTTTTCAGTCTTATGACAAAAGTGTCAAACTTTTCACCTACAGCTGGTTTCATCTCGCGGAACTTCTGACGTTCGAACGTTTTCGAGAGTCTCGGTACAAAGTAATCGTCCAACATTGACATGGCAATGTGGTACCGGTTCTCCATAGCGTGTGATTCGTCAACATGAACTTGCTTGACCACTTTCCGGATGTCTGGTCCACCGAACATCATCAGGGATTTGAATTTTTCCTCCTGATTGTCAACGTCCTTCCATGCTAGGTATGCTTCAAAATGTTCACGCCACTTTTCCCAGCGGGCAGACACTGGTCCGTCGGCATCTTCGGCAAACGGAGGGATCAACTGGTTTACCTAGAAAACACGCATTTTAAGGTACTTTACGAGCTACACTACGTCTGTGACGTATTTTTATCAAAATTCATGTGATCTGCGTACTACACAAAACTCAGGTTCCGCACTGAAATACATATACACAGTATCACTCTGCGTACTTCATCCCAAATGTTGGGTTCCGCATTTAACATTTTCTAAGTTCAGATTTACTGCGTACTACATCCTTAAACGTCGGATTCCGCTTAAAATATCTCATATTTTCCTGCGTACTTCATTCCAAACGAAAGGTTCCGCTTTCTTTCACATTAGGAATTTCTGCGTACTGCATCCCATGAAACATTGGGTTCCACATAATGATACTTTTTACATATTTCACTGCGTACTTCATCCCGTTGCTATGGGTTCCGCGTATTTTGTTTAGAATTTTCCAGAATCATCGGGTATCACGTCATCAACAAAATTGTTTTAGTGAGAATCATCCCTAAGCGATTAGGATTTTCATTCCGAAAAAAAAAAATACCCTGAACTGCCTCTATTTCTTAGGATGTTAAATTCCGGGTTTACGGGAGAAATTGAAATTCAATTTTCTCAGGTAAAATCATCCCTAAGAATTTTCTATCCACGGAAATGATTTCAGGTTTGGTACATTAGAATTTTCCACTGCAAACTCTCTCGAAAATCTGCTTTATCACAAGTACTCACCATAGGCCAAGCCATCTCACGGGGGTCCGAGTAAAATTTTCTGGGGTGGAGTGTCCAAATCCGTGGGTAGCTTTTATCGCTCGTCGCCAAAATGTAGAAACGTCTGGTTCGTTCCGAG